CACCTGATTTGGATGTAAATACCCTCAAATTAAAGCTGAAAGTCTCCAGTTAAAGCACATCTTGTTCATTTCATTTCAAATCCATTGTGGTGGTGTATAGAGCCAAAAAGATTAGAATTGTGTCGATGTCCCAATATTTATGGACCTAACTGTATTTTGCTGATATCTCCAGTTTTATTGAGCTCGCTCCGGAGCTGCTCAACATGGCGTCTGTTCAGGTCTAAGATCAGGCTCCACCCCCTCAAGCTATATTTTTTGCGTTTTTCTTTGGCGTTGTTTGAAATTTTGGCTTGCAATAGCTGCAGATCTGGCTTTCTGTGACTGTCCAATCACATACCTCCCAATTGGCTATATTACAGCTTGAGAAGTCTTTCCAAGATAGGGGCTCTGAACAATTGCCTGCTGCTTGAGTTTAGCTCCACTGTTCCACACTGCCTACTGAAACTCGCACTTTAATATTTAAAAAAAGATGACACTCCTCACACATAAATCATTTCCGCAAACGTGAATATTCTGTGCAATTTTGGGCACCTCTTCTAAAGAAGGATTTTATGGCACAGTGAAAAGTGCAGTGGCAGGCTTCGAAATTTATAAAGAGTATGGAAGATTGTATTTATGATGAAAGGCTAACAGATTGAAATCTGTTTAGTTTAGAATTATGGGACCTCAGAGGGAATATGATAGTATTATACAATTATAATCTGGGCTATTGTATAGACATCTATTCATAAACAGACTACATATAGGACACTAGGTCACCCATTTAGACTGGAAGAAAGGAGATTTAGTCTGACAAAAGAAAATTATTTTTTACAGTAAGAACAAAAAGTATGTGGTTTTAAATCGGTGGTTTTATCGGAGTCTAAACAACAACTAGATAAATACTTGAAAAACATATAATTCAGGGGTATAATTTTTAATATGTGGGGTAACCGCTTATTGATACAAGGAGAGATCTGACCACCATTCTGGAGAAGAGTAGGATTTTGTTCCTATTTGTTTAAAAACTTGGAAAGAGCTTTAAACTTTTTTTTTTTTTTTGCCTTCTCTTGGATCAACAGTAGAAACAGATGTTAGAAAGGCTAAACTTGATACATGCAAGTATTTTTTTAGTATGTTTCTATGTAACACAAGTGCTGTATGTGTTTGGAATGTCCCTTTACGTGCACGTTTAAAAAGCAAGATTCCAAAGAGAATAGAGGGTGTCTCAATCATATGTAGCCCTGGACCCAGAAATGCCCTGAACTTGTGATATTTGCAAAATAAAATGAAAAATTCTTGCTCATGCAACTAATCTTCTGATTGATATTTGCCAGGCTTATCAACAAGGTCACGTTTGAGAAAGGCTGAACTTGATGGACACAAGTCTCTTTTCAGCCTTTGTAACTGTGAATAATAACTCGTGAGTTATAGTACAGCTCAAAATAATTTTAAATATATTTCACTCTGAAGACATCTTTACTTTTGATACTTTTTCATACAAAAACATAGTTGCATTTCATCCAGAATGGTCAAGAAAAAATAAATGGAAAGAATGCAACTGTAAAAATGATTTTCCCATAACTATTTTTAGATTGGTAACTCTGCTCTTATAAGGCCATATCTAATGTGTCTTCCCACCCTCCACTATCTTAAACTGCTCTAATATAATTCAGAAAAAGCTCTTGTGATTAATTATGTTTTCTGGATTGAGGTTGTAGGAATCCAGAATAGACTAAAGCAGTGTTGATGACTTCTTCAACTATAAGAGAGCGTAAGCTGTGTTAAGCATCGTTATAGACTATTTATAGATAGTATAAATATTTACATAGAAGAACCTGCCAGTGACATAATACACAGTTAGTATTGTTTAATTATGACTTTTTTCAGCTCTGCAGTCTTTCAGTAACGTGTCAGTGATATATAAACCATGACAAGTGAAGTCAAAACGAGGCGAATGACTTTCAACCACAGACAGTATGAAGCCAAAGTTGGCCCTAGTTTCATTTACAATCCCACGTTGTATATAGTTTCACAGCTGGTAACAAACACCCTGTATTGTCCATCCATTTTTCTTAGATTCACAAAATAGACATGAAAAATTCTCGTTTAAAATAAAAGCAAGAGGGGGCGGGGCCTGACAGCCATAGAGAGCAGACGTGTCCTCCTCCATTATCCTGTGATTTAAAGCATTTTTAGAGCCTGCCACTCCTCGATTGGGGACAAAACAAATGACACCCGCAATGTCCGACATACCAGACAGATGGGCGAGTGTTCAGCGACCCATCGAGAGATG